CCCTCCCCCCGCCGCCCGCCACCATCACCAACGGGGGCGCCGGGGCTAAAGCAGTAGTCGTCGTACTCTTTGCAAGGCTAGCTTACTATTCTAATCAAGTCCTCTTTCTCCTTCATCTTCGCATCGTACATTTGCTGCAGTCTCTCCAACTCCTCGCGCAACTTTTGCAATTGCGCCTTGGCCTCGGCCAGGGCGGCTTCCTTTTGCCGCAAGGATTCCAGTGCTGCCTCCAACTTTTCTCTCTTTGGCGCGACGATCCTGGTAAAATTCATTCAGGCGAATATCACGCTGACTGTATATATATTTCATATTTAGATGCACGTCAAAGGGACTACCTTACCTGTATAATTTTCCGTATTTCTCCATGGCGATTACCCACATACAGAGTGATCGCGCTGCTATGGATACCACACCAACTTTCACGGGATCAAAATCAGGATTCGACGTATACTTCCCTATCGTTTTTAGGGTCCTGTCGGATATATGATCCTTGTCAAAGTCCCGTAACTGAAATTGGTCGATTTATTTGAATTGATCCCTGACAGAGTCCAAAATAGTACTAATAGTACTATTAGTAGTAATAGTAATATTTCATAATGTCACCGTGTTCAAGAAATTGACGTCTCCAAGTTGCCGTTTAGATTCGGCCCAGCTTGGTTCAGAATTCTTCAGGATCATTACGGCCTCCATGACCATCTCGACCTTGGCTGGTGGACGTGTGAAGGATTTTATCTCTGACAGATCTTTTTTATTCAATGCATCCAAAGCCTAAAGAGTATAGGAAGTATTAATATATATTTTAATAAAAAGAAAGGAATAATTCAATTAGAAGCTAGTGTGATCGGAAAGCATAAAACATTGACAACCATTTTTTCTAAAATAATCCATTGGTGTGTTATTGCTATAACAACCACAGTTTAATTTTTTTTCTTAAAATAGAAAATGAAAAAACCTTCATAGCTTCATTCAATGCCGGTTCGACAGTGGCCAAATCGGCGCGTGCAATTTCCTCCAGTTTTTTACATTCTTTGGATTCTTCGCCAATACGAATAGATTTTGCAGTAACAGACTTCTGCGTTTCGTCGGCGTCTCGACGCTGATTCACTATAGTCACTAGAAATTCCTCGCACTCCTTCGTCGACTGTTGTACCTGCTGCTGAGTTATTTCAAGCTCTGCAGCCATCTCATTGACCTTTTGTCGCGTGTCGTCGATTTTGAACAATCCACTTCGTAATTTGTTCGCTTGATTAGCCAACTCTTGTCTTTTCTCTGCCAGCATTCTATCGGCAGACCGGTTACATATGTATTCGTGAGACTAATGGACGTGAAATTGTAGCAAATTAAATTTTTATAACCAGCTTTCAATGCCAAAGAGATACGAATGATCCATATGAATGCGTTTATGATTTTAGTCATTCACTGTGAGTAGCTGGATGATAATTTGGACTTTATAATAAAGTTACTTTTATGAATTTTATTTAGCATTCGCATTAAACTAGTCAGTGATATTTGCAAATATTCGATTGTGACAATTTACTGAAATGCAATTTTTACTACAGCTTTTAGAGTGAAGCCTTCTCCATGTACGATCTATCCAAGATTCGTAAATAAAATGCGAAACAGAATTTACAGCTCAAAATAGATCAATATGTATTAGCTTAAAAACTCAGATCTAATATAGTATCAGCTAAAATAAACATTTCATGTCTGTTTATGATCATTTAGTAACATTAAGGTAAATTATTATTGTAGGATTAAGAAAGTTAAATTATTAAAGAACCTACTGCTTGTAGCCAGCAACCAGTTCCAGAAAGTTTGTAGGCGTAACGTAATTATGTCGTTTCATTTCATTAGCCATTCTTTTGGAGAATTGAGACACGATGTCGTGAATTAGTGAAAACGTTGCAGCTATACCATCGCGCAGTCTAACTTGTAATGGCAGAATAGGTGTATCGGCTATCGATACTCTCCTTTCCTAGAGAGAAGAATTTTCACCTTAAAGTATACAGTATACGCATCGCCAATATTTTATCATTCAATATCCGCCACAATACCAATTCGATTTTTATATACACCACAGACACTTTACCTTGCGGAAATGGGTAGTATATTTCTATGTCCGCATACGACGGTTTTCAAAGAGGAATATGAATAAAGTACGTTTGTATCATGAAGAATTCACGGGTACGAAAACGGATGGTTGGAATGTAAAGAAAAAATAAGATTCTTTCATGATATCAAAAAGGAGCTAATACTTACCACTTTATTTTCACCCGTTATCGTGATTATCAAATTTAGATTCATGAGGAACTTGTTGCCGACTTCCAAAAGTGCTTCACGCGGCCATTCCAAAAACCAATCGATAGTCGTGCAATTGATCAGGGAAGGATATTGACGTAATCTGTTTCTAAAAGCATCACCAATCGGGCTCATGCACAATACTATGTGCATATTTGTTCGTACTCGTTCAATGAGGAAGCCATAAATTGCTTCACTGGTCGGCATGATTCCCGCTTTCGTAGCATCCTTGAATAATTTGTTCTTAATCTGTAAAAATAAAACAAATTAAGTAATCTCAATTTGTATTGATATTTTATATTAAAATCATCTTAATATTGCATTATTTTTATTGACCTCCTCGATCTCCTCCGTCTTAAAAAGACTGGCAACTTCACCAGTGCTCAGCATGTTGTTCACTATCTCAAGGAATTGCTCCTCGGCCACTTGGGTGTCATTGAAGAGGAAGCTGGTGGGTTTGTTCTCCACCCCGGCTATGGAGTAGAGGGTCTTGAGGTCTTCGCGAAATTCCGGTACCCTGTAGTGCTTGCTAACCTCGATTTGGTAGGTGGTGAGTTCGCACATGTATCCTGCCACTTGCGAAAGTGACTGTCTGCCGCTTCCTCCGATGCCTATCAGCAACATGTTGCCTCGGGGCTGTTTGCAAGTGACACTTTGATTCGTTTAAGCAAGAGGAAGTTATCGATTTGCAAACCAGTCGATTCGCATTGGATTCTACGCCCCAGGCGCTGGTTGCATCCACCGAACCGTTCAATCGAACCGATCCGATTGTACGCAATAGGTGAGAACGGTGATTAACAGGAACGTGGTGGAAACTGAACGTACCGTGAAAGCCAGTACGTTAATTGTTATCGTTTGAAATCATCAATTAAGGGATGTTACACTCTCTGTGATTTTTCAGAACTGACAAGACTGATAAAGATAAACTGGCGATTGATCTAATACTGGGAGAAAGGTCTGTAATTTCTTTTAACTATTGACTGATAGAGATGGAAACGTCCTTTTGATTGTGGGTTGACGTAATTGATATTGGGTGATATTTAGTCGCTAACCTGTGATATTACACGAACGATTCGACATATGTGTTCAACTGCATCTCTGAACAAGACCAGGTCTAAACGGACTACTCCTGGAGACGCGTTGTACTCGTCCATTTGTGTTTCTATGTAATGACGAAGCGCTGATATGTCAATTAGGTCTTCATATATATTCCAGGCGTTCATGAAGCTTCCTGTAAATCACGTGGTCCTCGTTAGTTGAATTAACGAACTTGACTATAAAAATTGACAAAAGTATCAATTGCATGCTGGACAAGCGATTTACCGAAAATGGGACACCTCTTTTCTGGACATAAATTGTGATACGTCAGCTCGAAATACTTGCCGAGTTGTTCATTAAGCTGAGACGCAAACCATTCACGATCTCTGATATTATTTTTTTTTTTTTTTCAATAATATATTCATTACAGTTTTGCGTTATAATCGTAAAAGAAAAATAAAGTACAATACCTCTCGTCAATTAGACGATCACAAAAAACTCTAAACGACTCATGAATCCAGAGTCGTAAAAATGTCTGCTTCGAGTACTGATAGTCTTTATGGCTGCGCAATAATCCTTGGAAAATCTGCAGAGTGTAAATGTAAATTTATGCTAAAAATATTGATTAGTTTCGTGAAGAATACTGGAAAAGATATATCGTTAATTTTGCAAAACTTAATATGTATATCTACAGATAATTGAGAAATTAATTTTGTCATAACTGACTTTGGATATGTCTCTTAAATTGAAGAGATAATGCATCTTGGCTGGAGTTGGTAGCATTTTCAGGATGACATTATTGTACATTTCAATAGTGGCCACAGTTATATCATTAGCTATATTAATATAACTAAATTGTTATATTGTATAATGTATTTAAAATGGTTTAATATTTAAAAAAATAAAATAAAACTCACAGATGCCCTTAACTTCAGGGTGAAATTCAAAGAGTTGTTGATGCAACATCGTTCCATAAATACGTACTATCTGCTTTTCCGCTGGAAATGTCATATTTATCACATTGAATTGTGTAAGTAGACGTTCCGTTATGGTATTACGACCACCACCAGGTGGTCCCATTGCCGCCATTAATTGCATCTTCTGTATATATTTGCGTGTCTGTTTCTGTCGATCATACCTATGATATAAAATAAAAGAAATTCATATTCTCATCGAATTTTTTTTGAATCCCCAATAAACTGATAGCTGTCCCACATAAACGGGAAATTTTTACGTCCATATTTTATACTTCCTCACCAAAATCCGTAACCGATCCATTGGCGAATCAGTTCCAATGGTGGTTGTGAGCCATAAGTTTCCTTCATGGGCATATTGAAATCGTCCATAAAAGTTATCATACTTTTACCACCAATGGGCACATAGGTGCCTTTCGTGCGTTTCTCGAGTCTGCTTTCTATGGTGTCCTAAATAAAAAAAAAAAAAAAACTAATAAATCAGAAGACCTGCATAATTGGAAGATAAATAAACTTCATCTCTATATTATACCAGCAGCCCTTGGCTTTTTTATATTTAATTTCCTCTAAGATCCATAAGAGGATCAGAAGTTTACCTGGACGTTATTGGATGTCGTCTGAGCAGACATATTTATGACAAGAAGAATATATTTCAAACGATCCAAGGAATCCAATACAGACTGAGCAGTTGACGTCTTGCCTGTTCCCACCGGACCCACCAGAAGGACTGGATAACCATGAGCCAGAAGAATATTTACAAGAAAGTCATATCGTGCAGTATCCACCGTGGGAACTATAATTTTGTAAAAAGGTATTCTGCAAAAGAGAAAAAAAGAAAAATTCTTTCAATTCACGCATCAGGATTAGGACGAACCCGGAAGCTAATCCATTTATCGCAACGGACCAATCCGCGAGGATCCTATGGCACAAGGATAATACCTGCCGCTTTAATCAGAAGGACCCGGAAGGGTTCTGTTTCCAAAGCTTTTATATTTAGCATTAGAAACTTCTTTTGAGCTTTAGTATGAAAATTAAATATTTTATTCTACTGTCCTTTACCCTATTTGGTATTTCCAGGTCTGCGATAATTTTTCCTCCCAAGAGACAAAGCTTCGCTGCCGCACGTCAACGTAATACTCGTAGACGGTGTCCCTGATGGGAAAGGAACCCTCCATCTCCCTTATGAAGTTATCTACTTTCTGACGACCGTCTTCGTTAACCGAGGCACATAGTGACCATATCATGCTGTCAGGAAGCAGGATGTTAATTTATGGATTATTCATGAAGCATGTGCATGGTGAGACAAGATAGTTACTTACCAGAAGAGGAACCAAATTTTACACATAGAACTGAAAGCGTCACGATCCTCCCCAAGTTCTACTCCATTTTGTGGAGTTGCTAGGACTTGAAGAAGCTTACAGAGAGACTGAACTGCATTCAATTCAGGCACTGGTATAGGTTCTTCACATTTTTCTTTTTTGAAGGCTAATGTGGTGTCTACGAATCGTGCAAATAATTCATTCATCTGGGAAATAAAAAATTAATAAACGTTTAAGATGATTACAAATATTATTTAAAAATAAAGAATTTTTTTTCTAGGGACAAAGAATACCTCCTCTATAAATTCCGGCCTTTTCTGGTATTGATCAAGCCATGAATTTACATATGGCCGCCATCCGAGGTCCTTGTAATCGTTATACACCATTCCAGCTCTGGATACTGTTGCTGGAGAAGCTACGGCTAGATCCTGTACTTCAAATAGTAACGATACTTGCTCTGGCATTGTAATACGGTCGTTGTTTATCAGCGTCAGTATCTGAAAACAAATACAGACTTCAAAAAAATTATGAAATACCCGCAGAAAATGAGAATTTTACTTTTTTTCAATAAAACTCATTATCATACGTCAGGCGCAGAACGTTACGTTACATATAGTTGCGGCTAGGTAAACTAAACGGTCCTTAACTTTGTTATCGTCCATTACACTGTTCATATTTTCAATCCAGACAGCGTCCACAGGTCCATCGAATAAAATCCACTTCTCATCAGGGGTATCCTCTGCCGCAATTGAAACATTTAATTATTCTCTAGTTCAGATAAATACATTTCTCCAATTACATATACATATCTAACATAATGCTTAATACCAGTTCTTATTAACTCTGCATTGTCCATAATCAATTTACCATTAAAATACAAGATTCTTTAAAATTAAATATCACAAGAAGCTGGTCCTTCCACAACACATTGACTTACGGATAAATTATATATCAAGTTATTACAGAAATATCAAACAACAAATAACGTAACTCATAGATAAAACAACATAGCGTATTAAAAGAAAGACTATATCTCATGTCTCATTTATAAGCTGTAGCAACAGTGTCTCATTAAAATGTCTTTTGTTGGTTAAACACGTCCCAGGATAAGAGACTCGATACTTTCAAGATATTTAGTAGTTTACCTAGGAAGTTGTACATAAGGGTTGTCCTTACCCGAGCACGTCTTTCGCATAATCGAGGATATCACTCCATCGAGCCATTCACCCGTAGCGAGGTTATACTCGCCATACAGTTCCCCAAGATTTAAAGCTTTGGGGTTAATTGGATATTCGTAGACAGTGTTAAATCCAGGTTTATCGTGATTTTTCAGTGCCGTTAATGTATTCCTTAAGATCTTCCATGTGACCGATTTTGCAGTATTCGATTGACCCACGATCATAGTAGAGTGACGAGAGTTCTTTGTTTCGTAAAGTTCGATGACTTTCGTTATGATGAGGGGTATGGGCTGATCAATGAGAAGTAATTGAGTCGAACGATATGAAGTGATCAACCGAGGAAATAAATTACTTGGAGTCTCAATTTTGTCGCCTCCGCAGTAATGTAGCCAATCAGCTCCTCGTAATCTACTGTAGGTACTTCGACACCAGGAAAGAGGTCAGAGGTGATCCCAACAAAGAGAGGAAGGTCATCCGAAGTTAGTTTGGCAATGTTCATGTCCTTCATCGCCAGGATAACGATCTAGAGTACATATTAAAGAAGATGGACTCCTCGAATACTGAGAGCCTCATAAAATTCGTTAAGTCCAAAATAACCAGGGTATCAAATTGATCCTTGATATAAGGAGCAAGTGGAAGAATAAAGCAAATTAATGGCTGTAATTCGATCAAATTTAGCACCGATAAATTTGACTTTAGTTTTTTAACTGTATCACTTTCACTCTCTTTTTTAAATTACCTCTTCATCCGGCAAGTTTGGGTATAGTCTTCTCTTCTTACCGGCATATCTGGTAAGGGTGACTATACCACGAAGTCCAAAATCATAATGAAATTGTTTGCTAAGTTGTTGCTGAGCCAAGGTGTAGAGCGTGAAGACCTGAAGAAGATCGATAGCGCATCAATAAACCAAAGCGATTGAGTTGATTTTTACTCAAGATTTGTAAAATGACAATAGCAATAAATTTACCTTCCTAGCAAGAGAACGCGTGTTCTGAAATCCTTCACCAAACAGATTAATTTCAGCAATCATGCTACTATCAGGCACCATCATCGAGATAGGACGGAACATAGACTTCAGATTGTCCGGCAACTCCGTACGGCCAGCGTATCCAGGATTCATGGTGATGAAGATTCCGCAGGTGTGAACCAATGAAATTTCCATACCCTCGAATACGAACCTCGTCAGCTTTTGCGCCAGAGCCGTAAGTATTGAGAGGATCTGCTGAGCCACTACCGAGAGGACCTCGATATTGATCCTGCAAAAAAATTTAAAAAAAACAGAAAGTCCTTTATTGTCACCGAACGTCGCACTTTAATTCTTCTTCTTTCCTTTGAACTCTATACTCCAAGTGGCGAAAGGTCGTCACTTCCGTCTGAAATTTCATCCTCATGACCCCCTAGATGAAGAAGGTCGTGGGAGCGTTAAGGTTTAATGCATGGAGTCTCAACCTGTTAAATTCATCGAAGCATCCCCATGCTCCAGTTTGCGCGAGACCGGAAAATTGTCTGCCCATGCTCTTGTAGTCGAGGCCTTCTGAGCAATTCTGAACGATCACGTTGAATCCTAGTGCTTTACCCAGGTCCTTTACGGTTTCGGTCTTTCCGGTTCCGGCTGGACCTTTAGGGCTACCGCCACGATGTAGATGAAGAGCAGTGGTCAGCGTTATGTAACACCTATTAATTAAACGATGAAACGCTGTCGGCCGTAAATAACAACATAGTCTGAGACAGGCTTACTCTCTATGGGAGTGTTCTACGAGCGTTAAATTAACAAAAAAATCTACAAGCTCAATTAAAACGATAAACATTGAAATAATTACCGGTCAGTAAGTGGAGTTATAACGAGTCTTTCAGAATTTCCAAGATACTCGTAACCATATACGAAAAAGGTATTGGTCTGCCTTACTATGCAATCGTCCACGTCACGGTCCCAGTAGAATCTCAATTGAGAGAGCCACTCGAATGCGGATACGTCTCTGCAATCTAAAAAGTGTCTCCATAGAATGCTGATCATTAAATCTATCGATAATGACTTGTTTTTATTGCCCATACTAATTTTATACATCTTCTCGATAACGTCTCTGGCGTGAATCTCGATTACAACAATGGCTTTGAGTTTCAGTCTTTGCAGTCTATTCAAATTTCCACGTACAGCCTCGGAGTACTTGGCTAGCGCCTGGTTCTGCTTCTTCTTCAGCTTCTTCAGCGGTTTCTTCGACTCCATTAATCTGTCGGGATTAGAGAGTGCAAGGAGTATAGTAGTGGCGTTCGAAGTGAAGCTCTGTAAAAAAAGACTAATGTCTCCTATCTTTCTGTATCTCTTTTTCTCTTTCTCTCGTGTCGTTCCTTAAACGTCGCAGTTCGTTCTCGTTAACGCGAACGCTCCGAGTGTGTCAGGTGTCCAGCGACAACGTGGGGTGCATTACGCGGACGAATTTTATCCAGGGATCCTAACTCGTGGGGATGAAATTATTCACAGTACGGCTGGTATATGCAAACGAGAGATAGACGCGTGGGGATGGGTCGTGACCTAGGCAATGGGACGGGAGAGGTAGTGGTGTATGGAATACGAGGGGATAGAGGATGGGATAGCATGGAGAATATGCAAAATTCCTCTTATTAGAGATACTGTGCCTGGTTCGCTTAAGCCTTCAGTTACTCCGACCTTCTACACTTAGCTACCCACCTATCTACTATATACTGCCTAACTCTAACCTCACTCCTTGACGTTGTAAAATTTTCGTACTCACTTGCAGTGCAAAAGAGTCCTGGTACAGTCGGTGGTCCATTGTATTTGCGTGGATGTTATTCCTGGCTGACCTGGCCATTCCTTTACCCATTTATCTCGTTTCGCTAACATTTTTCGTAACGCCGTCCGACATTGTCGCAGTATTTCTCGTAAGCATTCCCTCATTGCTGATTCTGCAATGATCGGCCAGATTAAACATACAATTTCGCACTGAATTCTTACGTCATGCCATCCTCCTGTTCTCATTTACAGGGAATAACATTGTTTTTAAACGAGCCTACTCTCTACGTGTATGCACTGTTAATATTGTCTAGATATCAATATTCCATAAAAAAGTATGACGCAACGTTTACATATTGAGAAATATTCTCTTTGACGATAGTTATATAGAATTACAGTACTGCAAGTCGATTCAGAGGGTAAATTCGAGCGTAGTATAAAGTCTTCAGGTTAGTTTTGTATAACCCGCTTTTACAGAACCTGGTGCACAACACCTGCCAGTACGTAAACTTTCAGCGGAGACGGTGGAAAGTTGATACTCGCACGTGAGCGAACGAGAAGATTAAGGTAGCGCGAGTCGTCGCTATGGGGCTTCAGTGAAAACGATGTTGCGGCTTAAATGAGGTGGCGCGGCTTTATAGTCAGAAAGTTAGGCGGAGTAGTTTTACTGGGAATAATGACGCGAGTGCTTACCGATGTCACGCGAGCACGAATTTACCTAGGACGATGGCTCGTATGCACTCTGGAAAATTGCGACGCCCAACGAGTCTCGAGCACTTCGTGGGAAAGTTCAGAATACGCTGGAAAAAATTGCACCCTCCTCCACGAAGCGCTACCACCCACTTCGTATCCACGTCCTTGGGACGGACTGCTATCTTTAGAAGGAGTATGCAATCTTGACGCTAGAGAAATTCCTAGGGAACTATGAGTGAAAGCTTATAGAGAATACTGACCTGTATGACATAGCCATACTTCAACCTGACCCTCCAAGTGTACAGGATGTAGAAACTCTACATATTCTCCTTCAGCTGAGTACATCCCTTCAGCCAATTGTTTGTTTGTTATTGACTAAATGAATTGAGATGAGCTATGAGTCATGGGTTGAAAATTTGCTTAACTTTACTGAACTTGCATGGATTCAGGTGAATTAATAGACCTTGATGTGACTTGTTTTAGGATTTACCTTGCCTAACTTTAAGCTCTTGATACCCTCGAAGAGCTTTTTTATGTGGGGTTGAACGAGGTCAGGTCGCTTGGAGTTTGCTAGAATCTCTAGCATATCATCATTGGAGATGAAATAGAAGCGCGGGAAGATATGACGCTTCGTTTCTAGATACTGTTCCAAAGCTCGCTGGATCGCTTCCAGTTTGTCGTTGAGTTCATTCAGTTTGTCGAGCAATCCAGCTGAAAATACATGAGATACGTAGTTTTAAGCGCAAAAGCTTTTGACGATGGATGATGTAGTTTTCGACGTACCAATCGTAAATAGTTATGTATATCTGAGGCTGAGTTATGGTAAGAGAAGGCACTGATACGTACGAGGGCCATTGGGAAATGCGGTAAGCGCAAAGCCAGTGGAAAGCTCGTAAAGCGAAACAGTGATCTGGAAAATCTCTTGGAAATGTATTTTAAGCTTTCAGAGAAGCATCTGACAATTATGTATGAAGTTGCGAATAACTTCAATAGAATATACGTAACTATTGAAGTACGCGATGTGAATATACGTTACTACTTGTTACAGACATTTATATAATATTATTTAATTGAAGCTTGGTTTATCAAGTTCATTGAATATAATTATACAATATATATAGTTGAGCACTACTTACGCGGATCATGTGTTGCTGGTAACGCTAGGGCGAAACCAGCCATTCGTGAAGTAATTTCTCGCCACGATAAGGTCAACCTATCGAAGTCATCTGTTTCCTTGGGAAGCTGTTTCCTGATGTCCTCTGCCCCAAAGATATTATCCAAGTACATATAGCCACGTTGAACCAGTAGGACCATTTCCAGTACTTCTCCAATAGTCGATAGAGCTCGTTCCCAATAATCGACATCTAGTGCGAACGGTTCGACAAATCTGCAAAACGATCAATGTAAACGGCGTGATGACTTAAGATTGTTCAAAATGAAAAAAAAACCTTGTTGATTTCATGGCAGCTAGTTGAACTTGATGCTCTTCTAGATTTTGCGTGATTTCATCAACAGTTTTGAGTCTGAAGACACCCTTATCTTTATAGGGTGTCATTTCTAGATGCATGACCTCCCAAAATTCACTGATATGCTTCAGACCCTGAAATATTGATACATTCAATTATTGTTCGGCAGGAAAATTGTTGAGAAGCCTATTATAAAAAATTTCTTTGGATCGAAAGTATTGTTTACCACTTCTATGGCCAGTTCCATTGTCGCTGCGTTTGAGATATCGTTAATTTGTTCTGCAAAATTTTGCATTTGCATATCTGCAATGGCGTCCAGCGTGAACTCTTCAGAATTCTGATCAAACTCTCGACTGATTATAGTTTTGACGCGTTTCCAATGACGTTCCCTCATTGCTGAATTCTTGAGATCAACGATCAGTGGCAAAGTACGTCGAAATTTGTCTACCCGTGATCTAATAGGCAATTCTCGAATTTGATACTTAGAAATACCACTGTTTTGTCATTTACACAGATTTACCTAGAAGTGTCAACAATTTCCCAATGCTTTTCTTTCAATTCTCTGCTAAGCCTATTAAGTTTTCGAAAGAGAACATTCGCAGTGGCATCCATGTCCTCCATTTCAATTCGCCAAAAGTTTCCTGTCTTATAACGCTCCCAGGCTTCGTCCCATTCATCAGTAAGTTGCCATACTAAGTCGATGGCTGTCAGATCCTGTATCGGCAAAGTAAGTATACAAGTGTCAAAGTAAAATACAAGTTTTGATACTGTTTGTTGATAGGACGCCTGTACCTTATCAAGTCTAACCAGTTCTAAGGATTCCGGCTGACTGATATCAAAAACACCAAGATTTGCCTGCAAACGAGTTTCTTTCAAGCGCATAGCGTCCAATTCCTTTCGTATATTCAGTAACCATTCAAGAGCGTCTGAGATTTCATTGGCATTTAAAGAAATTGTATTAACTCAAAGGAGCTTTTGCGCATCTCCAAAATATTTTAGTAATAACAATGAGATCGAACGATTTCGATCTCACTGTGAATTTTGAAATACTTCGCGTACCTTTCGTTTTCCAATCCGATGTGAATGGCCCGTTATCGAGAAACTTGGTTAGTAGAGAAATGGCGTTGAGCTTCAGTATCGCCGCTTCCTCGAGCAGTTGTTTCTTGAATAGCACCTATGCGAGAAACGTGGACATACTGTCAAAGTGTCTTCCATCGAGGAATATCGATTTTAAATTCCTAACGTATTTTTGTACTCCTTGAAATCCTCCGATAACAGTAATACCTATTTGCTTACAGTATGGCTAAAGAAGTGTATAGAATATTCGGTAGACGCAGATAAACTTACAATTGTTGTATACAAAGAAGTCATAGGAATTACTTCATTTTGACGTAAAAGTAAGTATATCCTTATTTTCAATAAAATAAATAACAAACTGGAAAAATTGAATGAATATTGACATAATAATTTTGATAAAATTCTATTCCACCGATATTCTTCTTTTTATAATGCAAAGTAACGCAATTGAATGTATATATTATAATATATAGGCGTTGAAATATTGCTTAATATATTTATAGTTAAGAAACTAAAATAGTTAGTATTTACCTTCTTTTCTAGCAGTATAATATCATAGGACGCTAATTGCTCCAAATATTCATCCCAGATTGTATCAATATTTTTTACTCTCCTCTTAAAGTCAAAAGTCATCGGCACTTCGTACTTCTCTATAAAGAAAGAGTAATTACAAAAAAAATAATCACAAGCACCCTATGCTCAATGCATTTCTTGATTATCCCCTGAAGAAGAAAGCTATTCGATCGCATTCTACTTGGACCTTTAATATTTACCCAGAGTCTGGAACTGCTCACGGATCTTGGGGAATTCGTCCTTCTCCAAGGGAGCTTCCAACTTGAGCTTCTCGAGCAACTGTAACGCTTCTTGCATGGTAACGAGGTCGGTGGGTTCTTTCGTTATTCTAAAGTCACAAGAACGAATTTGCTTTTACATTGAATTTATCGTGGAAGAGCAATTGAATAACAATTAAAGGATTCGGTTAATTGGAATACGCTCAATTTGAAACTGAGAACATCGGATAAAAGATCTTGTTTTTTTTATATCGACCTATTATTCATAGGACAAACTATTAGGATAAATTGATACATTAAAATATTTTCGCTTACTTTAATCCATTATCTCGCACGTAATTGTATACGTGATTAAGCTTCGATTCCGTGAAACGTAGAAGCAATCCTGTGAGTTTCTGTTGCCAGAGAGCGCACTGATCGATAATGGCACCTTTCAGTCTATCGGAATTCACGTCAATGAAGTGCACGGTGGTCACTGTTTCTTGTAATAGAACGTCGTTCGCTACTTTACTGTATCTAATGATATCCGTATCAAATGTCTCAACTGTTGGTTTCAGATTCTCATACCTATTTGGAAACGAAATAGCTATAGTGCAGATTCTATAAGAAAGACGATCAGCCGGATCTGTTACCGTTGAATGAATAAGTCTTTGTTGGTCTCCCACACCTCTTTAAATTGTTCCCAGTTTTTTAAATATTTTTGTAGCTGGTTATAACACTCAGTCACCTCTGTAATTTAAAACAAGAATTATAATACTAGTGAAATACGATATAAATGGATTCTTCATTTTTAGCAACCAATGCTACTACATAAATGCAAAAAGAATATTATTTCAATTAACGCTTGGAAGAGAACTTACCGTTATTAAGCATTTGTTGCATCCGTTTACACTCTTCGTCCTCCAGATAAACTTCCCAAAATTGATTAACCCTTGCATCCTGAATGTGAAACTTATTAACGAGTCTGCGAATGGGTTTAATTGGTCCGAGAAGATCGTTCAGGACGTCTGACACTATTTTTGCAATATCCGCAATAGGAGGAATGAAATTAATCTGACAGAAGTAAAGTAGAAACTCAGTAAAAAGAGAATAATACGTTTTTATTTGTCAAATAATTGAATTTCTTAATGAATACCTTGTTATCAATGAGATCTGCATGGACGATAAGAAGAGGCGAAGGTGCAGTTGTTCCATCCCCATGCAAAGCTTCGAACATAACAGTCAAAGAATTCTTAATGCAGAGCTTAAAGGCTTCCTCTATTAATCTGTCCAGATTACTGACATAGTCCTTCCATTCAACGTATGTCTGAAGAATTTCGAGAAAAAGTATTTTACTCGTGGCACGAACGCAATTTCTATTTTCCGGACACATAGCAGCAGTACGATATGGCGCGGAGATTAAATTTCAATTCTGTCGCTTTCAGTTATCCACTACGAGACTGTGGACACATTGGATGATCCGACAATCAAGAAAATCGTTATTTAATTTATCAGCAATATTCTACAATTTTAGAATAAACCATATCGATACTTTGCTTTAGCATCAATTAACCAAGTTAACCAAAATAATATCACTTAATACAGAGGAAAATTATAAGATTAATTCGTTATACAAGACAAAGAGTGTCATCAAAGTAAATAATACGTTTCGCATTTACTTTTGCACCGCTAATGATCACATGATTAAATCTACAAGAGTAATATAAAATTTCTAATATGATCATACATACATCTTCTATTACTGCCTGGAATCCTTCGTACACGACCATGACGTATTGAACAATAACGTTGTATTTTGCTATGATGACTTTAATAACAGCTTTCCTGGATAAAGTTAAGAGAAAGAGAAAGAGGAAATAAATAAAGAAAAAAATTAGATCCAATGCACAGATAACGCACCTGACGTCCGCCAATTCTATTTCAAGCTCTGGCAATGTATAAGCGTAATTAGGTTTGATTTTGATCATAGGAGTGTCGCAGATGTTCTCGCACATTCTAACGATTTCGAAATTCGATTTCTTGTAAATATCGATGAAATCTTGAAGCTGAGAGAATGAGAATGGCTCGTTGTTACTTTTCCAATTTTTTATACAATACCTTGTACTCTTCTACAAGCTTGTACAATTCTCTGGATAGCTTCATGTAAATAGTAATAACATACGTACATTTGCAGAATGAGTAGAACAGTCTTCTATGTACGTATCTATGTACTCTGAGTTCCACGTAAGCTTTGTCAAGCCGGGCTTGATCTTCCGGTCAAGCAACTTAATTAAGTCCCGAAACAGAGCACGTTCAACTGTGGATAAGGCTGAAAGGAAAGTAAGGAAGGAAGGTAGAAAATGCTATCACTCCTTGAGAGCAGCAAGAGTCTTCGGAGCAATCATTAAGCTCCTTGAGATTCCAGTTGCGCGATAGGAAGGGAATCAATCAGAATCGACTAGCTGGCGACCTCGATTCAAATATTAAATTTACGCTCTACTTAAGCTAGATTTTTTGCCTTTAGTTCGAAAATCGTTCCGGACTGTTCTACTTGGGATAAACTTTTTCTTGCATTACAAATTTTTAAAATAATCCACTAGATACTCTCGCTGCAATTTCATCTCAGATCCTTAAATAAATTCGTTGAAAGAATTGTTTTTGAAAATTAAAAAAAAATGCTAGGATATACCTTGAACTATTTTATTGTAAGCCAGCACTACTGTCAGGACACTTTCGTAAACAAATTGCAATGTGTCCCATCTGCCATTTATCACTTGAAGATGAACCGGAATATCGAACTTCAAACCGGTCCAGTATTTTGATTCTTTACATATGATTAATATGCTCGGATGAATATTGCATTCCAGTAGTCCCGGACGATCGATACTTTGTCTCATTAAGTATCGATCCAATCGACCTTGAGGATCGTCACCGATGTCGTCCAACCATTTTTGATATATATCACGAATTCCAGCTTTTATGGAAGTCACTAGTTTTTTATACTGATGATAGACCTCGTGACTTATCCCACAATATGGCATCCATTTAGCCAGCTCGAAATTTTCTTTGAGCATTACCAAACGACGAATTTTAAGGGACATGTTCAAAGCTCGTCCAGCAAAATATGGCATCATTGACGGATATTCTTCACGTTCCTCCAGTACCTCCACTTTTGTATTTTGTATCTCGTCACCGAACATCTTCCATACCTGCAGATTGGATAACATGACAACATGTTTGATCCACTGTGTAGCATTAAATACATAGTATTTATTGGATAGGACATGAAAGCAATCTCCAAATTTGGTCAGTCTGGTGAATCAACAAACTCGATGCAAACTATTTAACTTGAAACTCATGCAAATATTTGTTTTACGAAAAGATAATCGATTTTGCTACGTATGTCATCGTGGCTGATTGCCGTGTTCATTTGTATTCAGAATTTAATTATAAAAATAATTTTAAGTTATAGTAAATGCTTGTTCATAGAATATGTTATTGTTAAAAATTATCGTTATTAGAACAGAATATGAATACTTGTTACATACGGATGTTGTTTTACTGTCGAACAGCGTTCTAAGATTTTCACGACCAATGTAATTATAAAATCCATAAATATTCTGAATTCCCTCGTGTACATTGTTCACGTCCTTGAATACAGTGGTGGCAAGATTTTCAATTATAATTTCCAAGTCTTTCATCTCCTGACGAAAACGAAACATGTCGTCGTACCAGGTGACTTGTTGCACGTCGAAAATCTTGTGGGACTTCTGCTCCAGGGAATGTAAGTGATCGAGGAACATTCGCTCGATCTTCTGACAGACTTTTTCATGTTCTGTTCCCTTGGTACCGCCGAATCTGGGCTTTCCGATTTTCACAGTCTCGTCCATTCTAAAAGAATTGATCTGGTAACTTCATTTGCTTATCAATATATAATAAAAAAAAGTCAAACTTTAGCATGCATCTGGTACCTAGCGAATTCAATCATCGCCTGACAAATTTCAATCATATTATAACATCTCGTCACGAATGTATCAACGTGACGAAAAATATAATCGTCATCCAGGTCCCAACCATGCGCCGTCATAGTATTATGAATGTTAGCAATCTGCAAGCATAATAAAAAAATAATTAAATCCACTAGGAAAATAACAATTAAAAATGTGTTACAGGATTTCAAATGTTGCGTCATTCATATTCTAATTTACCGAGAGAGCCAAAATCAACTATTTCAACGCAATCTTTTTTCCCGCCTAGCCGTTATCATTAAGAGTTACCAGAATTTCGTTCATGGTACAAACACGAAGGCGGCGCTAGCATCGGGGTTTTCCGCAAGCACGTAGTTACGTAGTTTTCATTGAAACGTCCCTAACTCAGTCATCCTATTTCCTTCCTCCTCAAGTCATGTTCCTTCGTAATCGTAGCTTCGAGTAGTTCGCACTCGTCCCCAACGATCACTGAAGAAAAACTGTCGCCAGTAACTAGTCGTCCAATCAAGCGCCTTCGCAAGAAAGAGGGACGCCAATCATTGGTTACGACGTCTTCGATTGCTCAGAATACCGAGAGATTTTCCAAGTCGATGAAAGTGCTAGAGTCGCGTAATCTTTCTACCTGGTTTTATGGCCGATATGCAGCCGCATCTCCCGTGCATGCGCCACGTTGAAAAGGAACTCATTTCACCTGCCTTTATACCGGAGAACTCATAAGTCAAGGTTCGCCAATTCGAAATTTTGTGGGAGCGTACAGAGCAAATGTCACTGAATCTACTTTCCTTCGTTTCAAGAAATCTCTCGTGAATGTCTCCGAAAGTAAAAGATATTGGGAATTCGGAAATGAAAACGTAATGTTTCCATGCGGTTCCACCCGCTAGATTCAAAATGCACGTGGTTGTAAGGATCCTTATGAGAAACTTTTCAAACAGTTTTACAACTGCATTCAATAACGGGTGAGTACATCTCGTTATGAAGTCATCTTATGGAAAATTTAATCAGATGCTTTTGTTTATCACTGGTTATTTGTCTTGTCCTACAGTTTTTCCACAAATCTGTGGAAAACGTATTCAAGCTTATCTCATACCAGGTGGGATCGTAATGCCGTTGTTGTTATAAGCGAAAATGTGTGTCGCGAATGTTTCCCAAAGGAATACACGGCTCGGACCTACAGCTATGGATATGGAAAGTGATAGGGATATGAAAATGAGAGAATATGTTTTTTTTTTTTTTTTAATATTCAGAGAATTTAGGTCCGGCGAAATTTCATTTCCCATGAGTTTGTCGCGGATGCCACGTTACTTGTAAAGGATAATATAGAAAAACGTTGTGGAGATGATTATAAAGAAATTATTATCGATCAGATCAATTAAATTGATATGGTACTTGCCTCCTATATATTTACCTTCAAATAAAGACTTTTGTAATTCTGACATCCTTCGATGCAAAGGGAAAACATATCCATACTCCCTCTAGTCTTCCCGGCGAACATTTCCCGCAGATTAATGAAACTCCTGCAGAGTAGAATTATCTGATTGCTGAACGCGCCGAAGAGGTTACTCATCCTCTCGCGGTTATCGAAGTATTTCGAGTTGAGCCATATCACACGAAGGAGGTTGATGATCCCAGGTAGATGATCAATTATCATCTGCGGTTTGGTGCACTCGTTAAGTTTAGCCGAAGGTTCGATTAGTATCTGAAGAAATTCAAGGTTCGACTTGGCCTCGGTGATGCCATGTTCAATCTCCTCACTCAGGATCAGGAATTGTCTGACGTATGTACTCTGAGTGGTAGTCAAAATATTCACTACGAACTGAACAATAGGATGTCGCAGTTGAAAGTTCAAACCCCAAAGATTGTCATCTGTGTACAAAAAATTAAGTGTCAGAAATTATAATCAGCAAAATAAAATTTCTTCTTTCTCTATCTTTTGGTAATAAATTCTCTTAAAACATATATACGTATCGCTTGCGTATACAAAGCACGAAATTTGTAAAAAAAATTGGCAGCTTAGAGGTTAAGTGCGTTCTAATGGACAAGATCGGCTTTAGGATGACAATCTTAAATGTTCACGAGCCATCGAGTACAAATGTGTCCTGTGTAATCTCTGTTATACTCGGCTTGCGAGGTGGACGCTTCTGGAAAGTCCCGAGTCCCAAAATTCCAAGAGACAACCTTCGCTAACTCGATAATCTTTCTGGCCGCACTCGGGGACCACCTTTGGAAACCCTTTGGTCGGGGTGCATAGTCGCCCTTTAGTCTTTAGTCACCCTTTAGTCGCGATCCAATAATCTGCCCGTTTGAGATAGTTGCCATTCGTTTCAGCTACGCAATATAAACTAGATTTCTCCCTAGGTAGGATAACACGAGCGATTATCTATGTCGTCTATCAATGTTAAAATGCAAGTACGAATCCAAATTTTGGAAAAGACATGAGAAAGACGTTCCTTTGCATCAAATAAGTTATAAAACATTTTAAATAAAACCACATAAAGCAATACTCACATCTGTACTTCCAAAAATCGTATTCTTCATCAAAACATAGCAGCTCGTTTGGAGTACTCTGTTCCTGATCACACAGTGCTACCCTGATTTGTCTCGTCCAACGTACTATCACTGCTTCGAGTCGCTTTACCAACTCCCTATCAGCACTGGCCTCCTCAACGGAAAGGTCACATCCCTCGAGCGGAAGATATATCACTGTTAAGCCCAGCATTTTGTACCTTAAGTCCGTTAGGTCGCAGAGGAAAGTGTGTATGCCGGCGCAGAAGTCGGCTTTCACGCATGTTAATCCGTTAAGGAAGATACGCGTGTTTAACTAGAATCCAATTAATCTTGCTAACATGGCTGGGAACTTGATAACGCAAGCTTTTAGCAGTATACACGGACAACGACGAATTCTCCAGGTTGTCTCTGGTATTATAACGTACCATATATAATTGAAATCATGTTAATTAGTATAATATCGAGTTACCGGACATGACTGTAAACAGTGATTCCACTAACAGAATTGCGGTCGGAGTTACAAATTCACTCTGTATAGTTACTGCATTAGATCACGGACGTAACGAGCGATTGCGAGTATCGTGATTGCAGGTGTATGACGTAGGAGGTGTTTGCTCGAACGTTTTGTCCCGCCAGCTTGTCAGGATTGCATTGTTCATTATGCTGCTGGACTGCAGATGTCGCAAAGCTTGCAAATGAGATGCGGAGTGTTACAGAGAGTTATTGTCGTCATTTAAAAGGATACTGTCTGGCCAAGTGTTGACGTTGAAGAAAGTCGGCGCCCAAAGGTTTCCAACGGCATTAAGAATCGATGCCTCCACGTCGCCGTTAATCGTCCCGAACATGACGTTCTGATGAAAGTTTTCCGCCGTCAAAACTTCATAGGGCTCTTTGATGAAGTACGTGAGCTCGTGTACCGGCACACTCGGGAAGTCCAATTCAGCGGCCAGTGTATAGTTGTCGAAGTAGATGGAGAGTACCCTGACTGTAGAATCGTAAAAGAATTCACGAATTTCGGATAGGACTTCTTCCGTCCAATGGCTGTCGTCCAAGGCGAAGAGAATCGTCATGTCCTTTACGTATCCCACCTGAAATAACGTATTGATATTGTTAATTCGGTCGTTACTGTCACGCCGTGGTACCAGGCGACTTTACTAGTCCACAATGAGTCAAGCGATTGACTTCCAATTTTTATAAACTTTGACAAAGGTACTCACGAGTTTTTCCAATTCTTCAGCATCGTAAAGTGATTTCAGCGACTCTGTCAATTCTTCGTCCTCTTGGAATTCGGCTGCAATTAAAAGTTATAAATTCAAAGGTCACGACGTTCTCCGAAGGAAGTTGCTCACACGACGGGAAATTGTCCGTGGTGCAAGGCAATTTCGATGGCTGCTATTCCAATGCAACGTAACATTCATTAATTCCGTTACTCGAGGGAGCGAGTGTCTGGAAACGCGAGAGGAATTCGCGCGTCCCGACGTGTCTCGTCGGAGCGACTTAATTGTACCAAGTGAACGGAGCAGAACGATTGCATCGACTTGGAATAATCTATAGCCCGGATGGAAATGGGGAACGATACGGTTTCTCATGGAGAATTCGAAAGAGCTTGAAGAAGTGAAAGGTTCCCGCCCTGTGAAAACTTCGAGAGCAGCTTGTATCCCAGGTGGAAGTTAAGCGAAGCATTTGATACTTTTAACGGAAGTGGAGCGGCGCTTCCAACTTTTCCCGATAGGATCGCATTTGGTGAAAAAGGCACACAAAGGACTGTGAGCGTCTTTAATTTCGCTTGGATGCTGTTTCTTAAATGATTTTTTTAGTTTACCTAACTCTCATTTAATTAAATGTAGATATAGGTATATACATATACCGAGTCGCCAGGTAAAATGCAACGTATAGGGGACTCCTTTACGCTGAAACTCATAGAAAGATGACCCCTCGTAAGTAAATTTTTTCCCTAGACGGACTGTACAGGGTTATTCACAGTAAGTTACTACCTTAAGTTACTGTCTATTTCATTTCTATAGTAAAACCAACACGTGCTATATACATATATATAATTACGTTGTATATATATATGTAATTCCTTATCGATAGTAATAAGTTATATACGTGCTTATGAGCGCGGCTTAGGCAAGGAGGTACAATCGCGGAGGAATTTAATTTCATGAAAGCTTCATGTTACCTGAAGAATTTGGTTGAACGTGCAGTGATTCGGTGCAAAAGGTAACGAATATAAGGAGAGTATTTAATGAAGCACTAAGTATTTTCAAATGAAGAAAACGCATATTCGCTAACTCTCTTAATGCCAGTTTTAATTATACGTTCCAGTATCATAAATTACATTGTATTTAGCGTAATAGTCGTTTAATAGGTTTGTACGAGAGAGTTAAGCTTTTTGTTTTATCCATCCTCTTGTCTTTGCGAATAACGAATTATTTAACGTTAAGAATCCAAGTCGAAGAGAAAATTCCTGATAAAAATGGTTAAACGTCGATATAGAGTACTTCCCTCGAAGCCATACGAAAACAGCGGATAAAAGATATGGAGGTACATGGAATCCCGTTAGTAAGAAGAATTACCTTGGTAAATAAATAAGCAAATAAGTAAATCAATGTAAGGTGATGGAAGCTCGATAGAAAAGACCTTAAGACGCAGCCACCCAGGGACATAAGACAAGGGACAGGCAGGGTCTCTGGGACTTTTAGTGTACGGGAAAAGAAAGAAATGGGAAATGGGGGGAATGGACAGGGAATGGATAAAGAGGTAAAGATAAAGGAGAAGCGTTTTAATATTTTTCTCATAAATCTTACTTCTCCTGTCTCCTCCCTCGTCGCTGGACTCAGCATCCAAGTATTCACGGTGCGGGTCTACGGCCGGATTATCTTTAACTTTATCTTTTCGTCTTTGCATTTTATTGGTCGCGACGTCGAGTACGGCGCAATCCGCGACGAGTTTACTTCCACCGATTTATGCCTTCTGCACGTTTTATGGGCCAACGAAAGCTTTGAACAAACTGGAACCAAGTGCCCCTACTTCTTAGTGCCGGTTTTACTCCCTGCTTTTCTTCTTTCTTGTTGTTCTCGTATTACCGTTCGTCTGCGTTCCTTCTTCGTCTATCGTCTGCAAGAAGCAACGTCGGCCATTACAACAGAACCTCGTTCCTTCGATCAGTCGTGCCATGGAAGATCAGAAATATTCATTGTCGATTGTCAGGTTTTACAATAGGTTTTCATTTAACGATTATTTCATGTACTTCGATCTTGAAAAGGAAGTCTCGTGGAAATGATTTCATAAGCCGAGGTTGATTCGGAGCGAGTCCTAAGTTTTCTACGTATAGCATCGTATGCAGGGTCAGCCAGTAGAAACGCACCAGCAGAAGTTGGCCGCAAGTGGCCAACACGGCAGTGTGGCCTCTTCAAAAAATGACACGTGACTGTGACCAATTCCCATAAGCGCAAACTGACAGTTCGCATAGCAATAAGGTTATAGAAATATTTCAATAGTTAGGTTACTGAAATAATTAATTAATATTGTAATGACAAAATATAATTCTACTGACTAACCCTGTATAAATAATTGGTTAGACTCGACCTTGAGTCGTAATGATACTTTTGCGCGATTTCAACCCTTTGATCTTTTCTCTGTTTTATATATTTTTTTTCGTCTTGTCACTTTTTTTCGACTACGACCCTCGTGTAACTGCTGTTCTTTACGCCCGGTAAAACGTCGACGAAAGGGACTTTCGCGATGCAATTCCTACGAATTAATCGCAGCCGTGCACACTCGCGTATATGAAAACTTCGTGCTTCGACTCCACGACGTGTCGTGTGTATTCAAGCTTTTGCTTGGTTAAAACGAAGGAGGTTAAAGAAGACGTAAAATAAGGATGTTTCAGTATTTTAATTTTTAACGTATTTCAATCGAAATTGTGTTTCTTAAGAAAATCTATTGCGATGACTAGCGGCATCGCTTTCTGCAGCTGCTGACTAATTGCAACCTCGAAAGAGCTTTTAATGGATTTTTCTTTTCGGTTCTTTTTCACTTCCTTTCGCTTTACTGTTCTTCTCGTCAATTTTCTGGTGCCGTTACTGTTGCCTGCAACTATTCCATACGGTCTTGCGCTCAACTCCTCGAGTTAGTGAAGAGGATTTTATTTCGATTTTTCTGCTCGTCAATGTTAATTCTTCTTTTAATTTTATTTCTTTCTACATTTTTCTTATCGCAGTTTCTCCTGTTCTTCTTACAGTTTTTCATTTTTATCTCGGTCTTTTATCTTTTGGATCATCACTTTTTTTTCATTTGCCTCTACCTTATCTTTTCTCTCTATAACGCGTATCGATCTCCATTCTCGTCATTAGTTTGCTCGATTATGCCAATTACCTGTTTGCAAAAAATAATTTCTACATCGACTACTGGAAATACAACGAAGTTCGTATGACGTCTATGGTCATCGGTCCTGATACGAGGAGGATATACGTCCGGCTTACCGTGGGACAGCACACAATCGTAAAGGATAAGGAGCTTAGGCTTATCCGATATCACATAATGGATTACTCCTCCATAGAAAGCACTTTTGTATAAATTTATGGGCTTCTTGATTCATACTGTATTAAAAAGAGGCCTTTTTGTATACGAGGCTTCGCGATGAAATCCCGAAGCCTCACCGCTGAATCGTCGTCGCGACGCCATGAAAGGATCGTGTGAAATAGTTTTTCGATTTTCCGGATTCCTCCGAAAGGATTCCGAGGTCAATCGTCCTTAAAGCTAGCATTCAAAAGCCCTTTGGAAAGGTGACGTCGGAATAAAAAAAAAAATAATCTCGAGCAAATGTGAACTTTTAATCAATAAAAAAATTTAATTAAAAAATTCATCATACAAGGATATTCCGTATACGTCGATGAATGCAGAAATAGTATTTCTGCTTATTAATTTCCAATATTATTAATCATTTCCAAGTCGTAAGGCAACGGTGATATATAACGAATAATACAATCTACGTTATCACTAACGAGAACCAGGGTGATAATGATAACGATTAGAGTCATTAGCGTGTAAAAGGCACGACAGCCACTCGTTCGAGACTAGAGCAAGTGATGTGGCTGTGTGAAAACTTGCCTCGCTCCTAGTCCTAGTCATTAATTTGGCAAGGACGCGTATCTGACGAGGGTAGCGCGTCTTTATTCGATGGTTGAGCGAAACGGGCCGAGATTAGGTCGAGCTAACTCGCGCAAGGGAAGATGTCACCGGCATGATGATTGCCGAATAACGCGACATTGAAGGAAGGTGTGAGCGCATTAAAGAGGTGAGTAATGAGTTTGCCAGTGGCGCCATATAAATACACGCACTCCTAGGGCAGCTTGATGGATGGATGAACTCTTATGAGAGCAGCGCAACGTAGAAACAGGAGCGGAGTGACGGCATAAATGAATTCCAGATTATTCAATCTCTCCCTATAGAGTAATTAAGTCGAGTATACACTTTAAGGGGAAGGGGAGAGGGGGGTGACTGCTGCTTTCCGTCCTGTAGAGTAAACCAAAGGGGTATTGAAGACTCGCGATTTCAGGGTATATTCAAAATTTCTCATTAATTCTCGATACCCCATAAAATAACGCGTATCCAATAATTTTGAGTAATTTTCCTAATTTATGTATCAAAAATTATTTTAACGACACATTAACGAGGGTCATAAATTATTTTTTTAATTTCTCTCATAATTTCCATCTCTGTACTTTCCTTTAGATTCCGATCAAACGGGAGCACCATATACATTAACGACAGATATCACGCGGTCATGCGAGAAGCCTTGGTTCTTGCGGATGCCTCTTTTGTTCTTTGTGAACGCGAAACACGATCGGTCCAGGAAGCTGTTGCCCAGCAAGCTGACGCCTTTGTTTTTCCAGCGATTACGAATCGTGTCGCGGCTACAACAGGATGGCGACAAGGGCATCGTAGTCGCCAAGCTGCCTCGACCGACCACCGAACTTACGACCACATTCGGAACAGTTGTGAACCCCAAGGACGATCAAGAGCCTGTGCAGCGTTGGAGCCTAGGAACATTCTTATTTGGTCACAGCAAAAACACGTGGGTTGTTAACACGTGGCTCGTTAAAATGCAATTAGAATGAAAATAAGAAAAATCCTGATACCCAACCGGTACTCGTTTAACGTAACGAGTAGGTTACTGAAGAGAGCCAGATGATTTCATTAGTACCTAATAACGAGGTTGGAATCTTCAACAAGACTTAACCATGTCGATTGGCAATTCCCTCGTGCGTAAATACCCAGTGGGATGAAAATTCGAGAAAATCCTCAAGACAGCTCCGTCGAATTTCCGGAAAAATGTTACTGCGACGCCATTTCCGGTCTACAGGAAGACTCCGGAAACTCCATGCTTTCCTGTCCGGAGGTTTTTGAGACTTAAGCAGCTTCAAGGAGAACCGCTACCGCGGCTAGGTGGATGGAACGGTCACATCCGGTTCTTCAGCTGGTATCCTTTTTATGCTTGACATAGCAAACAGGTACGAAACTGGATACCTGACTAGTCGAACGGACGGCTAGTTGGATGGTTGTGGGTGCACGGTTCTGGTACTTTGTTATGTAGAGTTAGGTGTATGGCTATGTAATACATACCCATGGAAAGGAGGGTTGAGCCGGAAATGCCTTCTTTCGAAACTGTCCCATCCCTTTATGTATCCCTCTGCAAAAGCGTGACTGATATCGTCCACTCGTATCGGAAATGTCGGTATCTAGGGACAGGAGGACCTACGGTTGACGTGCAGGATGGAGCGAACGAGAGAACGAGCGAATCAACGGACAGACGAGTAGAAGCGAACAGCAGCGAATGAGCGGACTGGCGGCAGAAGAAATTGCAGTGGACGCGGATACAAGGGCGGATCGATAAAACGAGATTAAAAGAGCTAGAGCTACAAGATTAAAAGGCAAAGCCCACAGCACGCCACTACGGAGACATTTATATTCGTGGCAAATCGTTATTGCGTCGAGAGACCCGTGGAGCTTTTCCGCATGGCGAGATATCGCGGCGGAACGGCATCCGTGTGGCGATCTCTGAAAAGAAGAAAAAAGAACAGGGGACTTCTTATCGTGGTTAGGCGTAAGGAAAAGGCCCCACTTTGATTGGCCATCGATCGGACCCTATTGATAACCTACTACCTATACCGTCCTAGAAACTCTCGACCCACCGTCGACCGTCGCCCAATTGCGATACGAATATCGTCATTGTTGTATATCCTTGTTAGCTACCATTCCCAACTGTGATTTGTCTTGGAGAGAAAAGGACGAAGAAATGAAAAAAAAAAAGTAGGGAAAATAGTCGCTAACGAAGAACAGCTGCGACTGCGCCATTTCTGTAATTTACGTCAGCACGTAAATTATGCCCGTGGCTTTGTTTCGCTGTCGCGCGAATATCGCGATGACGAGTTGCACGAAGAAATTGGTGAAAGTTCGCACGCTGCGCTTTTCAGTTTCTTTTTTGTCGAATTTTTTCCTTTTTTTGAAAATTCCACCACCTCCACTGACTTTGTGTCCGAGTGTTCGTGAGTAGTTTATGAAAACTGCTTGATGGCCAACGCGTACAAGGTTTCCATGAAACGCGATTAGACGATACGTGCTTGCGATTTGCGAATTTGGTTGCATATCAGCGACGCTACTCGACAGCTCCATACTGGTTCAAATCGAATTTCTAGAATTGGTCGATTAATTGATCGATATGAAGCCTCGAGTGGCGGGCAAGTTTCCATTTGGCTTACTTCTTTGATTTCTGTGCAACGCTGCTGAAAAAAAAAATCAGTGGTATATATTGCATTCTGACTGGCTGCTTTAACCGTGGGTACGGTTACTAAAGCTATCTCTAGGTAGTATATTCTACGTACGTAGACTGCAGCTCGGAGAATAACTTTGAAAGCGCCTTTGGAAAAGATATACAAACGAAAACCACTCGCTGCTTGTGGGTATAGACTTTCATTTTCTTTTATTTTCATTCTATTCTATTCGTTTCTTTATGTGGCTATATTTATGTATATGTATACACATTTATATACTATTTTTATTCATTGATGCTAATTATCCATCCGTATATTGGCGGCTTATACGGTCTCTTTGAA